CACGCGCCCGGCGTGAGTTTTAAGCCACCGGGTCCGGGACACGAACCGCGGTCGACTACGTGGGAATCCAGCGACATAGCCATTACGCTAACTGCTGAATAATTATTTAATTTTACCTATTATTATTATTTAATTTGACCAGAGAGAGACTGAGGGGGGTGGGAGTGAGAAAGGAAGCTGCCAGGTGCAGGACCAGAACTGTGGTCGGCCATGTACTAGTCCAGCACCATAACCACCACACCATCTGCCAGTCTTGCCCAGCATGTTTTTCAAGCCACTGAGTCCAGAGCTCCAGCAGCACTGTTGGCGCCGTGGGATCCAGCACCTTAACCTCCACGCCATGTGCTGGTCCAATAAGTATATTTCTAATATCATAAAAATAATAATAATTTATAATGGCTCTGGGTTGCCTTTCTTAAATCTTTAAGTATATTACATAATTAAAAAATATTGGGACCAGCAGTTAGCGTAATGGCTATGTCGCTGGACTCCCATGTAGTTGACCGTGGTTTGCCTCCCAGACCCAGTGCTTTAAAATTCACACCGGGCGCGTGTGCATGTGTGTCCAAGATCCCGAGAGGAGAATGGAGGAGAAGGGATTGCGGCGTGGCTATCCCCTCTGGGGGGTGATTTCTCGCTTTCTGTCTCTCTGTCTCTCTCTGTCTTTCTGGCGAGCGCACGTGCCCTATAGCAGAAACCTCTTCAAAAAAAATTAAAAATTAAAAAAATATATATACTTATTATATAAATTGTGATCTACATTTTATATTTTCTCTACAAGTAACATTTTCCAAACTCTATCTTAAAATCTTGACATAAAGTCATTAAAATAAATTTATTAGGGCCAGCTGAGTCATGGTGGTTAAGGCAGCTACATCGCACATGACTGACTGTGGCTTGATTCCCAGACCCAGTGACTTGAAAAACACACTGCATGCAAGTGAGTGCCCTAAATCCTGAGCAGAGAATAGAGGAGAAGGTATTACAGTGTGGCCATCTCCCCAGGGGGAATGATTTCTCACTTTTTCTCTCTCTTTCTCTCTCTCTCCAGTGAGCACATTTACCCTATAATGTATATGAAGAAACATAAATATTTCTTAAATTTTATGAAATGCACTTTGCATACTGAGAGCAACATCATAACCCATAATGCAGGGAGTGAGGAAATAAGTGTCTAACGTGCTCAATTGCTCTTCTCCTTTTAGTTAACAAACTTTTTCTGTAGATAACTCATTTCTGTTGACTTGGCCAAAGACTTGGGAGATGGAAGAATCTCTGAGTGGATAGGACAAGGAAGGATGAATTATAAAAAGCCCCACAGTTTTCAGGAACTCTCCCAGTCAGTACCTTTTCCACCTAGGTTGGCCTTGACACTTCAGAGTTCTGGCAATTGTCTTTCCCTTCCTGATTCTCCTAAACCCAGCCAAGTCGCGTCATGAAACTGGGAAAGCAACATCTATCCACCCATGGGCTCTGCATCCTTTGACTGGTGTCTCCTCTGCTACATTAGACTGGCCCTCAGCCCTGCAGGAGATTTTAATCAAAACTGGAGGATAAAGGGAAAGTTGAATTTGTCTGAAAAGCCACATGACTTACTGTAACCTCTTCCCAAGTGAGTATTCAGTTGATATAAACCTTCAGGGAGGTACCACACCCTCCTATGTGTAACCCAGGGATGCTCAGCTCACACCCTCCTACCGTGCACAAAGGGAGGCATATGGCATAGTGATTGCTCGGTGGAC